GGAGGGCTGTTTATTGAGTTTTGGCAAGACATCGAGGGCCACATGACAGGCAGACAGGAGCAGATAAATATTAATTTTCTAAATTTTTGGGAGGCCCTATGGGCTGGATAGAATGGTGTGGAGGGCTGCATATGGCCCGCGGGCCACATTTTGCCCACCCTTGACTTAGACTGTGCCTATGTGGTTAAATAATTAACTTTTTGTGGTTACTAGATGTTTACCAATAGGCTTTTGAGTTGTTCAATCTGTTCAGTCATTCTTCTTTTTCTTCCTATTGGTAATACTGATGCATCTTGAGAGAAGACACTGGCTTTGTCTTCACAGAGTGCTAACCTCAGTGTTGCAAGGGCTGTGATGTCCCCTGGTGGCTGTGTGGCTCCTGCATGGCTCTGTATCTAATGTACTCCTCCCTTGATTGCTCACATGCCCCGTCTTGTTCTTAAGGAAGGTTAGGTAAGGGAGGCTGTCCACAGGCCTTAGAGTGAACCAGCGTTCACTCTAATGGAGTGAGACCATTCTAGTCTGCCCAGGCCCATGGTATTGGGGTCCCTGACCCTATCACTTTCTGGTGGTGGTCCCTCTTGGACCTTTGCCCCCTTCTAAGCCCTGGCTCCACTCCTGGGCCAGTTGAGGTTTCCAGGCTCCTCTGCTCTGGCAGTCCCTGACTGGTTCCTCTTGAACCTTTAGCCTCTCCTGGGCCCTGAACCCTGGCCCACTCTCAGGCCAGTTGAGACCTCCAGGCTCCCTGGCCAAACTTGCCCCCTGGACTCGGTTTCCAGCAGTGGCCCCTCCTGGACCTCTACCTCTGCTCCAAGCCAGTTGGGATCACCAGGCACCCTGGCCCTGGCAGCTTCTGGCTATAGCCCTCTGCTGGGCTTGTAGACCCTCTGGTCCTGCTACTAGCCCCTCTCTGGGCCACCAGCTCTCTGAGTAGGCCTTGAGCCAGCCCTCAGCAGGTCTTGAAGCTAAACCACTGGTGGAACTTAAATCAAAACCATCTCAGCCCTCTGGCAGACACCCAAATCCTTTCTGGGTTTAACACAAAATAAAGGTTACCTGTCGGCACCAACAAGCCTCTCTGCTCCAAGCAATTCTCCTTTGTTCCCAGGCCTGCAAAGTTGCTTCCTTCCAGTTCCACTGTCAATTCAGGAATCCTGTGCTCTGCAGCCAGGAGCTCCTCACTTCATGGCTTTCAAGGCTGGAGTGCCTGTCTGGCTCCAGCTCAGGGATTATATGGCATAAGCCCGGCCCTCTTCCAGTCAGGTGAGCCCCTAATCAGTCCCTCTCGCCACCTGCAAGCTGCCTCTCAGGCTGCTTGCCCTCTCAAAGGGACAGGTGCACCATCCGCCTTCTCACGCTCGGGCTCAACCTTAGTTTTTCCCATACCACAGTACAAATTCATACATCTACATACCACTGAGTATCACATGATGAGGCAGCCACCACACTGACTGTAGGGCAGACCCCATGGTAGGCTTTAATGCTTGTTGCTACTATGAGTTTAATGTAGCAAAGGCATTCAGACAGATGCATCCACAATAATCCAGACTGTCTCAAATTCTTTCCCATAAATCCATGGGGCACGCATTTTTGGATGCTGTCTTCCCATTCACCTGTGCTCTAACCCTTGACTGGCAATGATCTAGCTTCAGCACTTTGTTTAGGTTTAACCATTTCTTGTGTTTGGAAAAAACAGCTACTAATTAGAGGTGCACTGATATATCAGTCTGTATCGTAATAACAGTGATAAAAGGAAAGTTGGCATTAATCAGCAATCAGCTTTTTTTTTGGCAGGTGTAGCCAATAATGTCACCAATAAATGCCACATGCATGTGCACAGCTGCAGCATGCACGCAGCCAGGAATGCAGCTCAGCAGCTTGGAGAATAGTTTCCTGCCAAGAAGTCTGGGGGGGGAAGGGCAGATCAAGGCCTCCATGGTGAGGGAGGGAGTGAGGCTGGGGCTGGGGAAGGGACAGGGCAGGCACTGCCCAGCTGGGCCAGGGCAGGCAGTGGGATGGAGCCACAGGTAGCTCATCCCGGGGGGTGCAGAGGGATGCAGGTGGGAGGCAGCTCCCAGCGGCTATGTACAGCCCCAGGGGAGGCATGGGGACATGTGGCCCCTGCATTTGTGCGTGGGGTGAGGGCAAGCTGCCCACTGTGGGCTAGGAGCCAGGGGCTGTGCTGGCCTCTTCCTGGAAGCGGGGCTGGGGCTGCGCTCTAGGTGGGCAGGGGCAGGGTGGACAGTGGTGCTGGGAGGGGGACTATAACCCACCCCGTAGCGCCCCCTCCCAGCACCACTGCCACCTATCCCACTCTGAGTGCAGCCCCAACCTAGCTCCCCGCCGCTGGGAAGAGGCCGGCACAGCCCCTGGCCCCAAGCCCACAGTGGGCAGCCCACCCTCATCCCGTGCACAAACAAAACTGCAAACCAGCACTTTGCAGTGGATGAATGGATTAAGTTTCTATGAAAGGTTAAAAGGCTTCAAAATATTCAAGTCAGAATCATGCAAAAGAGGCAACTCTATTTTGCCTAAAATTAGAGTTGGCACAGATACCCTATGGGTTGACTGTTCTTAGGAGGAACAACGTACCAGCTTGCCCACTCTGAAATGAACCAGGCATACAGAACATTTTGCCTCTCATATAGACAGACAGGGGTACATAACAGCCTGCACAGCTATGGAGTAGTAACCTTTACTGTAACTACAGTCACTTCCTTCAACTGGGGATAGAGGATGAGTATGTGTGTCCCCTTAATCACACATACACAGCTTGGACACCTTGTCCATTTATACCCACAATTATTTCAGGAATATTTCTAATTTGACAAGCCTAGGTGATGCCTAGGTGATTAACTGCCCTGCAAACCTTAATGATCAGTATGGCAAGGTAGATATTCCAACCTTAAACAGCTTGCCAGTGGATCTGTAGTAGTCTGGGGTTGCCAGCTTCCACAGGGTAAGAACAACATGCTTCTGAAATGTTTTGGCTCCCTCATCTGGCTTCTCTGCCCTTTACATGCCAAGAGGAGCTCTTCATGGATGTCTCACGTGAAGGTTCAGGGGCCAGTCCTGGTCACCCCATGTTTCCATCACAAACAAGGGTCTCACCAGCATGGCACAGTGGTGATAGCATGTGTACAAGGTGTCTCATGAAAATCAGCAGTAACTTGGTTCATATTTCCATGAACCAAGTTATGGAAGTGTGAACCAGTGTCTGTTGCTGCATTACTCCTAATAATGATCTGTTGCTACTCAATCTTCTCCAACCCCAAAAGAGCCTCTGAAACTTCATTAAAGTATACAGACAGCTACTTCTGCAGATGCACAAAGAAAGAAAAACTGACTCCATAAAAAACAGCAGTTCTCAGTCTGGATAATAAGGAAAGGATGTTTCCAAACTTCTCCATGTAACATTGCTACCACACCAGCTTGGTTACTGCCAGGAAGTAACTTTTGCAGTCCTACATAATTTCCTCCTGCAATGCTAAGAATGAACAGACAACTTGCCTCATACCAAACCTATCAATGAGTGATGCAGTGAGATGTGATGCTACATATCTCTGGATATTTGTCCAGGCAGTGGTATTGTTTGTCATGGCCACATACAGTGTCAGTGGAGATGCAAGATGTGGCTGAGAGGTGTTAAGATCCCTAGGGTGGTTACACATTCGGGAAGACCAGGCCACTGAATGGATATTGCTTGGTGCAATGCCTCACCATGCAATCAGTTGATAGGCTCCTCCACAAGGGATTCCTTTCTTTTTCCTATGTATGAATGGATTTGGAGTGGACAAGATCATACAAATGGCCAAATCTAAGGACAAAAAGGGATTTTTTCCCCTGGTCAGACTGCCACAGACTGTGAGGATTTTGGCCTTCCTTGGTAGCATGGGATACAGTCCTTTCTCTAAGTTCATCTGAACATATATAAGCTAATTACTTCTCTGTTATTGCAGTGGCAGGGCAGTAGTGGTGCCTTCATGACTCCTGCTTTTACCTGTGGCATGCTATAGGGCAGGGATGTCCAAATTCCCTGTGGTCTGGAGGGCCACACACCATACCAGCCATAGCCTATGGGGGTGGACCCCCAGGAATTCCTCCGTTGCCACATGGACAGCACCAGTGGGGCACAGCCCTCTCTGGGATCCCATGCCCCCCACCACCACCACGTAGGATGCATGTGCAGCCTCCTGCCCCCTGCTATATGTGCCACATGGCTAGCATGTTGCCCCTGCTGTGACGGCAGTGCCACCAGCATGTGCCAGCCCCACAGCCTCCTCCTGCAACATGGCTATGGAAGAGGTAACTGCAGGGGCCTGTGGGCCATATGCTAGCCCCTTATGCCCTACATGCAGTCTGTGGGTCATTTGTTGGACAGCCCTGTTATAGGGTGTTCTTGGCATTTTGGATATTGTTCCTTGTATTTGTGGGTTAGTGTTTGGGGGTATTTTTTCAGGTACTTATGGTCTACAAATTCAGGGGACTATCCTCAATGGCCCCAAAAGCTCCTTCTAGCCCAGTGTTCCTAAATGCTGTGAACCCCCTGCAGCCCTTTCTGGAGCAAGGGATCATGTGCCTCCAAATATAAACAAAATCCTGGGCTCCACAAGGACTACCCTATTAGTGCCTCTCTCTTCTTTAAAGGGAGAGAGCTCCACTTTTGACTGTTAAGTGTAGCAGCACTGCCCTGAGAACTTGGACAACCGTATTTTGAGCTATTCCAACATGGCTAAAGAAATTCCAACTGAGATGCCTTTAGGCCCTCTTCATATAAAGAGTTCTGTCAAAGGGTTGTTGACAACTCAGTTAAATCAACATAACATCAATTGCACAAGCTGCAATGTAGCAAAAGTATTTCCAAGGGACTTTTGATGGGTGATTTTTTCCTTAAGATTTCTATGAGAAGAAATAAAGGTATAGCTGCAACATTTCCATTTGTGAAACAGATCCAGTGTGCCCGAGTCCTGGGTTAATAAACTAATCACAGTTCTGTTTACCTTTGGAATGACATTTGCAAACAGATGATCCAGCAGTTTAACAGAATCTTTGCCTCTGATTTTAAACTTGCCAAACGGTGACAGGTCAATCACACCCACTTTTTCCACAACCTGCTGATACTCACGACCCACGGGCTCAAACCAGTTTGTGCGTTGAAAACTGGGTCTAAAGCAGAAAAGTTTAGAAGCATGAAATACAGGATACACATATTTTTGAACACCTACAGTCATGCTATTGTGATCTCTTCAGTAACTATATTGTTCAAATGATCTGTTTTGAAACTCATTCATAAGAGATAACCCTTTAATTTTAAATAGCTTATCCATTATTTTTCCTTACTTAATAATGAATCCATTGTTACAATCATTTAACATCAAAATAAAATATAAGCAAATGTTTTATCAGGAAATCACAACCAACCCTTTTAATGCATAAACTATCTTATTTACCTGACTCCAGGAGAAGGTTAGTTCCCCCAATCAACATGAGGAAAAAACTCACACATCTTAGATTTGAGTACAAGTATGGTAGGGCGGCAGGGAAAGTGGGGGAGGGAGGAGGGGCAGGGCCACAGTCAGAGCTGCAGCACCTATCGGCCCTTTCTCCCCACCCCCACATGCTTTTCTCCTCTCCCCCTGCATAATGTAAGGCTCAGCTCCAGCTCCTTTCCCTCCCACGCACAGAACATATGCCTGGCCACACAGCAGTGGCAGCTCTGGCTCAGGGATGCTGGTGCATGGCTGGGCAGGCATCAGAGCTCGTAGGCACTCCATACCCAAGAGGGAATGAAGCAGGAGCTAGAGGCTGCTGGGAACAGAAACTTCAGGGGAGCAAAGGCTGCAGGGAGGGGAGGGAGCAGAGACCTAGGGGAGCAGATGAGGGCCGAGGCTGAGAGGAACAGAAGCTGCAAAGGGGGCAGGTGGCAGGGGCACAGGCACCATGGGCTAAAGGGGGTACAAGTGGTGGGGGCCACCTGCTCCCTAAGCCCCCTGTCCCTGGCTACTGCTTTCCCCACTGCAGTGATGGGAGGGGATGAATTTAAGACAACCCTCCAATAATTAGATTCTATACATGGAAAATTATAACTAATTTATACATTTCCCAAATATACACACACACATTATATATACACACATACACAACACCTTAGTCTGTCTAACTGTCTGTCCGTAACACTTTATTTGCACTCTGATTGGTTGTCTTGGCAAACAATCAGAGTGCTCCAAAAGCGTTCTGGACAGGAGGCGGTGGCGGAGCGTGACCATGACAGTGGGGACAGAGGGGACGGAGTGGGGGAGAGCCCAGCAGCGCTGGCCTCACCCATCGCCGCCCCCCGGCCCTGCTCCCTGGAGGCAGTGGTGGCACAGGGTGCTGGCTGAGGGGATGAAGGGGATGGCAGGGCAAGCTTCCCCTCCCCAACACTCCTTGGAGCCAGTGCCGGCACGAGGGGAGGGGGAACAGGGTCAGGCCGCCATGATGCGGGGGAGGAGGCCCAGACCTGAACTGCTAGGGAAGAATGGGGTCAGGCCTGAAGCAATTGGGGAGGAGACAGATGAGAACTGGGGGGAAGGGGGTGCAGGGCCAGAGGCTGGGCTCTGTCCCCGCTGTGTCCCCTCCCCCGGTCATTCTTGACAGGCAATTTGCTAGTGTGTGTGTGTGTGTGTGTGTTAGTCTAATTATAGGGGGGTCATTTTAAATTCAATGTTGTCTTGAACTTGGCTACATATGGTGTATATATGGTTAAATTTGTAGAAAATCTCTGAACATTAAAAATAACAGAAACAGTTTTTACTGCTTCAATTTGTAACCATGAGGAAACCTACAGCTGGCTTTCTTGTTGAATCATTTATTGTGGGTTTGATTATTAAAGGCTTTAGTTTGCTGATCCACACAGGGCTCCTTACTTCTTTCCTGAACTTTGCTCAAATTGTTATTCCACTGGTGGAGGGGAAGACAAGGTTACTTGCCTGACATTCCCCACTGTAAGCAGGTATGCAGGTTGGAACAGAAAGGAAGAACCCATTTCTCTTACTCTTTGCCCAGAGGGGAGTAAACTGATCCATGAAAAGGTTAGATAATTGAATCCCCTTTAGATCAAGTGCAGAGCAAAGGAAGAGATGTGACTGAAACACTGTTGGTTCTCTGGTTGGTAAAGTTACAGTGTATCTTGTTGTGCATGCTTGAGAATGTGCACACCTTTAGAAACAGATTTAAAGGAAAGAAAATTAAATCACACAATTTAAACATGGAGGAAGACTTATCTCATAGACTTCCTCTAGATAACCTGAGTGGTAATTATATAATTCCTATCAATCCTAACCCAAAAAAATTGCTTTCAGGACAACTGACCAAGAAAAAAGAAGTAATCTTTCACTGACTTGTATCCAATCTCATCTCCTGGTTTGTAGAACCAATGTGGCTGCTCCCATCCTGCATGGAAACCCATTGAACATTTGGATTTAAGCACTTCATAAAGCCCACTGGCTCGCTCTGTAGGCCTCCCAGCAAACCTTTCTTCTTTCGGATAACCAACTGGAAAAATAGTAAGACAAGAGGCATGCTAAATATCATTCACCAAGAAAGTAAACCATGTAAAAAGGAGTCATAAATTTCACATCTATATTACCTAGGTGCAAAGCTATATTTTTTAAAATATGACAAATACTTGTAAATTATCTTCTTACTAATGTTGTTAAATCCATAAGACTCTCTTGCTTTGATTGCTGTATATTCTGTGGTGGTCCATTTTCCATAACGATTCGGATCCAATTCTATTAGATCAAAAGGAGGCTCCCCATTGAAGATCCAATCACTGAGATATTTTCCTATACCACCGGCATGGATAATGCCATATCTTTAAAAGAGAAAAATCCTCTGGTATTGAATCATCCAAAATAACTATTACTAAAACATAGAGTATTACAAATTATCTTTAAACTATTTCATAGTTTCATGGATGTTAGGGGCTGGAAGGGACCTTACAGATCAGTGGTTGGTTATTCAAATCCACTGGCCTGAAGGAAATTTCCTCTTCCACATGCTCAAAAGGTAGTAAGTATGATTGCTAACAGATGGCAATCATAATTCCTGGAAAAGGAAGCTTCCTTCTATCCTAAAGGTTAGAACAATGTCATAAAAGTTTCATCACCTTTTTCTGAGAAAAAGAAAACTCACCAGTAAACACTACAGTAAGTTCCCAAACTGCTGATTTTCAGAAAATGAAGTACAGGACACAAGATTACTTTTTCCTAACAAATATGCAACCCTGAATGCAAACTATGGCGGCAATTTAGGAACAAAAAAAAATTCAGGGGACAATAGCAAGTATACTCTAGCCTAGACCAGTTCCCAATAAAGTTGGAACATTCAAAACTAAATACTACCCTGCATCCCAGTTCCATTCAAAACAGGGGACCATGAATGGATAGGAATAAGAAACTACCAGGAAACTACTCTGTAATAGCTCCAAAATTAAGAAATAACAACTCTTCCTCACTTGCTATATCTTCTCTCTTTCCTAATTTGCCTACTACACTTGTAGGAAGCGGTTGGTTCTGCCACATGCATGCCTGCAGAGAGTCCCTTTCCACTACAGGAATTGTCTGCTAGCTGCTTACTGCTAAAATCCAATCCCTTTGTGGCACATGTGTGGTGCAAAAGGTCAGCTCATAAGGGATAGTCTGACATAGTATAATTTATACAGAAACTACATTAAAATAATATTGTATGATCGAGCATGCAGAAATTAGGAAATGCCAGAATTGGGCTTTCCTGTAACCTAAGCTCTGTCCCCTGGTGTGTTTGTACAATGGTTAGACCCATTTAAAAGTGAAATTTTTGTCCTGTGGGAAATTCCATACATTTGGAATCTGGTTTAATTCTGAATCAGGATAAAGTACTGAAACTTTCAAACTGTTATCAAAATGGCAGACTGAAATATTTTAACATTTTACAAAACTTTAACTAAAGCTGAATAGGTTTGTTTTGATAAGGCCTATACATTTTATCTTGACTTGTATGTTTTGTCTTAATTTTTATGGCAGCACAGAAGACAGGCTGCCTGAGGGGATGAACTGGGGCTGTATAATGAAGAAAACCTGTCTATGGGATTCCTGCTTCATTTGTTCCAGAAGCTGAAAGGTGCATGATGAAAAAAGGATGAGATTGCGGAGAGATAAAGGATGGTCTCTTGGTGAGATGGGGTTGAACACTACCTTGACAAATGGATTCTATATCTATTCCTGCCATCAAGTCTTAATATGTTGCTAAGCAAGTCACTTACTCTAAAATTTTTAAAGGCTGTCACCAATCATATGTTCCTCAGTTTCTTTGCATCTGAGTTGAAACACTGGAATCTGATTTATAGGAGGGTTCAGCACTGACATCAACAGCTAAAGTCAGTGGGAAACTCTCTCACATCTCGGATGTTGTAAAAATGAATTCATTTTTATTTGTGAAGTACTGAGGTGAGTAATAAAGAAAAACCCAGGAAGAAATTAATAATTTTGTCATGAGATCAGGATTAGATTAGCATTCAGTAAATCAGGTCTAGGGTCAGAGAGGGAACAGTGAAATTTGAACAAAATATTGAACTGCTGCTTATCTGCTGAGTGCCAGACATTCTGCATACAGAATAAAGCAGATGTGCTGTGGGGAAAAAACAGGATATGATAATATAATCATAATGTACATGGCACAATGGAGCTGATTAAAGTTACACAACTAACCTTCATTCTTGCAGTTCCTAATTCTACAGTGCTTGACTTTATAACATTAATATTGCTTTTTTTAATACAGTGGGTTTTGTGCATAGCATCTTGTTTTTTTAAAACAAACTGAAAAATGCAAATTCATTCATGTGGCATGATGCTGACAGAAACCTTAAGATCGATTGTATGGGCCTGTGTCACTAGGGCTGATATTTTATGGGCTCGCTCATACTAGCAGTAAGTGTAATGTGCCCTAGAGCTGGGGTGGCAAAGGCCCCCTCCAGCTGACACTTGGCCCCTACCTTGTTACTCCATGCAGTCCCTCAAGGTCCCACCCTATTATCTCACCTGCCATGCCTTGATGTTATTATTTGAGAGGGAAGCTGCCCTTGGAGGACAAAAGAGGTTTTGGGTGATAGGCCCTTTTCTGAGCTGAGGCACCCTAGCTGTGACCCACTTTACTCTGGCTGTGTCCATCCCCCTGGGGTCCACTCTATCAGGACCCCAGGCCCCAGGCCTGAGCTCCAGCCAAACCCTCTACAGGGTCCAGGCCCCTTGGCCCCTGGTCTCACCCCCTGTGGGCTCTGAGCCCCCTAGCCCCTGGTCTTGCCTTCTGTGGGCTCCAGGTTTGGATCCCTTTAGTCCTTGCTGCCAGGTACTCAGTCCTCTGACACACTACAGTCCTGCTTCCAAAATGTTTGCGTTTCTGCTCCACACAGGCTGCTGGGCTTCAGGCCCTAGAAGTGCTCTGTGCTGGGTGCCCCTGCAGCACCCCAGTGGTCTCTAATTGTCCCCTTACAGCCATATCCAGTCCTCCAGTCAAAATGCCAAAAAAAATGTTCCCGTCAGGGTTAATCTCACCCCATGGTAGCACTAACACAAAAGTTCAAGACACTTACCTTTTGCTGCTTAGGATGCAGGGTTTCTTCCAGCCCTCCTGTGGCACAGAGTCTTTCCTCTATAGGTAGGGCGACCATAATAATAATTGGAGGGAAATCCAGGATGGAGGAGTCATGGGATGGGGCCAAGCAGGACAACATGCGTACGCACATACCCACACCCACCAGGGTGGATAAAAATCAATGGTTTGGGGAATTTTTAATCTTTTTTTTAATTTAAATAAGATTTTTTTTTATTTAATTGTAATTTTTTTGCTAAAATGCTTTTTTTTTTAAATAAAAGAAACCTATATAAAGATAGCTTTAATTTAAGATATGTTAAAGATATCATCATGGAAAATGGATTAGAATTTCGAATTATATACTATTTAAGATAATATATTCATGTAGCCTTTTTAGACAAGTTTTATAAAGAGGTCACAACAGGCCATAGACTATATTAGGGGCCCAATCTTATGGGTTTCCCAGAGGCTCCTCTGTAGATTAGTAAAGATTAAAGAAACATTAGTTTCTTTAAAATTAGTAAAGATTATAGCAAACAACAAGAATGTACTTTTTGTAGAAAACAGTGTTTAAACTGAGGCTTCCTGACTAGTGATTTAAATCATATCCACCCTGACACATACCTACACACTCACCGGCCCACACACACACACACACACACGTGCACACACACACACACACACACACACACACACACACACGAGTCCCAACCCTGTAGCTCTCAAAAGACCAGAGAGCAGCCCACTGGCTGGGCTCCCTGGAGAAAATTGCAGCAAAAGTCCCAGACTGGCCTGAACCCACCCACACATACCAGGAGCTGCGGATGTGCAGGCAGATTCCTACCAAGCCAAGACTTTTGCTTCAATTTTTTCCAACAGCCAGAATGCTAAGGCAGCCTCCAAAATCTGGGACTGTCCTGGCATATCTGGGACGCATGGTCACCATATCTATAAGCAGCCCGGACTGGCTCTTTCCTGGAGCTCTGCCTCCTGTGTCTGCTTCAGCCAGATTGCCCTCTCTGGGTCAGGCCCTGGGCTTATAAATCCTGCCCTGAGTCACTTGATGCTTCACTTCTGCCCAACCTTGTCAATCACTGCCTGCACCTGGGACGGGCAGCCCTTTATTTTTAAGACTCCATTTGTCCTTGTAAGTCTATTCCAGGGGCTGGGGCCAGCTAGCTGCCTCTCCCCTTCAGTAATGGGATAAGGGCCTTCAGTAATGGGATAGGATACAATAAAGATATATAAAAGCTAGGCATCATTCTGTAGATCAGCACTACATAGGAATGAGACACTTTGCTAGTGAGTTTCAAAGATATTTCCTGACAGCTGAGGAATTGTGTGATTCAGGCCCGACTCTTCCTCATCATTGGGGTTTCTTGTCTCAGTGCCATTTGCCTCACCTAGTCATTCCCATTCTCCACCCCCAAACTTCTTACTTCAGTCCCAGTCTCCTTGCTCATTTACTCAGAGCCCCAGTCTCCTAGCTGTAGTCTTTTTGGTCAGGCAGTCCCAATTTTTCTGCAACTCCCAATTCTAATTCCTCTCACTGGTGTCCAGCCCCATTTCCTCCTACCTCATCCTAAAGTTATCTACTCTTCAGTCCATCTTTTGTCTCCTCAGCATTCAAATCAGGCAGCTTCCTCTTCTACATGGCCTAAATTTCAGGAGCAGAGTGTATGGGGGGGGGGGGGGGGGGAGCAGAATCCCCATTTAAGTCTGGGTGCACAGACAAGGTGTGGCTTGCAGTGATCCAGAACTACAACTTCGGGCAGAGTTCTGCTCGGTTCTAGGCTGCAGCATGCCCACCATGGACAGGATCTTTAGTAAGTAGTGACCATGTATAAACATTCATTTCTAGCAGTGAACAATTTCCATCACTAGAAATGATTCCAGGAGAGGGAGTAGTGCAGATGTTCAGTCTACAACTGCCCTTTTTCCCCTTCTTCTTGTGCCGTCACAAGACCAGGTTGATCGTGGTCTGGGGAAAGTGTGGGCTGTTCACTTTCTTGCGAAGACTGGAGCAGTGGGACAAAATCCCATGCTCATTTCTCACACCAGAAATTCCAGTGTGAGAAACAGGCAGGGTGCTCACAGCACTGCTCCCTCTACTCAGCTCCCAGTGACTGGGCCTCTGGTGTGAGAATTGGGGAGATGTTTTGCCACACTACCCTGGAGAGAACCTCCCCAAGCCTGGTTCCTGGCTCTGCTAGCTGGGCAGTATAGGTGGCAAGGGGAAGCCTATGGGGCTGGAAAATGGGCATTGGGAGGCTCCCTTACTTAGAGCTCCACTAGCTCTGAACTTCTGCACTACTCTCTCTCCTGGAATCATTTCTAAATCACTTCCCCTGCTGCCCACTTGGGTAGCACACAAGTAAAGGAGAAGCCAGAGGGGGCCATCAAAGTCCCTGACCTCTTCCTGAAACCAGGGACTGCATGGTTTGGGGAAGTGTCAGGGAGCAGTAGCTGCTGCTCCCATCCAAAACTAGTCTGGGAGAGGAGGGGAGTACCTAGGCAATGCCCCCAGCCTGCTTCTCACTCTGGGGATCCTGGTATGACAGGAGGCTCCCCTCCCCTCCCTGTCTATGGAAAGGACTGGAACAGCTGCCTCTTGCACCTTCTCCAGACCAAGGTGACCCGGTCTCAGGAAGACACAGGAGCCTTTCCCCATGGCTCCATTCCTCTTAGTTCTTAGGAGGAGTTAAGGCTAGTGTGTAAACATTCATTCTTCTAGGAGAAATTCTTCTGGTACTGACTTCCACCTGGTGGGAAGCAACTTACTTTTCTCCTGGAATCAGTATTTTTGGTCTGGGAGAAAGACCATGAATGTTTGTATGCTTCTGGTTTCTACCGAGAGAACAGCAGAATATCTGTACATGGGCTCAGTTGTAAAGATCTAGAAAGTCTCCACTGAGCATATTTAGGCTGCAGGTTTTCAAAAGCTTGTAGCTTGGCTAACTTCGGGTGGATGGCAAAAGGCAAATCCCTAGTACAAATGTCAAGTTCCTACTTCAAACTTGGGGGCACAAGAATTTTTCAAAGGAAAGGTCAACAGAACTTTTAACATGGGCCAAATACATTTTCCCTAACCTAATTCTTAGAAACGACTGAGCTGTTTTAACTGAAATTGGCATATGGTTGTATAGCAAAATTTAGCCCAAGAGTCTAACATTTTTCAAAGTTATAAGTAGCTGAAAATGGGTAAATACTGAACAGCTTTAATACACAGTACTACCAGATTTACCTACAATCATTACCAGTATTAACTTGTTTTCACATTAAAGCACTTACCTTGTTTTTTTGACAAACAAATAATAGAGGGAAAAATTGCAAAGCAACTAACTATACTCAGACCTAAGTCACAATACCCTGATTTATTAACAGTGAGATAGAGACTGACAGTGTACACAAAAGATCACAACATTAATCTGCTTCTGCCATGACCTAGAAATGGAGAATGGAGCATCAATGACCCTGAAGAACAGATAGAGGGGTCCAATGTGAGAGTCTTGTACACTCTTATAAATGTAGGACAAGGCTTACAGATTAACAGTACAATTAATGTATTCATTGAATCATAAAATCATAGAAAAATAGGACTGCAAGGAACCTCAAGAGGCTATCTGGTTCAACCTCCTGGTCAAGGCAGAATCATTCCTGTCTAAACCATCCTAGACAAGAGCTTGTCTTACAGCTCTTGAAAATGCCAAGGATGGAGATTCCACAACTTCTCTGGGTAACAGTTCTAATGCTTAACCATTCTTAAAGTTTAAAAGTACTTCCTATATCCAAGCTATATTCTCCTTGCTGCAATTTATAACTATTGCTCCTTGCCATTATCCCTGTGGCCATAGAAAAAAAAAGAGTATATGACTATCATCTTTATATTCACACTTCAGGTATTTGAAGACTGTTATCAAATCCCTCCTCAGTCTTCTCTTCTCCAAACTAAGAATTGTAGTTTTTCCTACCTTTTCTTATAAATCATATTTTCGATATTTCTATACCACTAATAATTTTTGCTGTTCTCCACTGGACTCTAATTTGTCTATGTCTTTCTTGAAATGCAATGGCCCATACTGGACACAGTACTTCAGGTGAAGCCTCTTCTGAATAGAGTGGAAGAATTACTTCCCTTGCTTTGAAGATGACACTTCTGTTAATATAACTTAGTGTGCTACTGTTTTTTTCTGTATTAAGGGGCATATTGTTTCAAAATCAGCTTGCAATTCACTCCAATCCCCGGGTCCTTTTCTGAAGTACTGAAGCCTAGCCAGTTGTTACCTAGTCTGTATTTGTACATATGATTGTTCTGCTCTAAGTACAGGAATTTGCGATTGTCCTTACTGAATTTCATTTGGTTACCAGGTAATTTGAGATCATTCCTCCAGTTTGCCAAGGTCACTCTGAACCTAATCTTATCTTTCAAAGTGCTTGCATTTCCACCCAGCATGGTGCCATCTGTAAATTTGTTAACTGTACACCCAGTCCCATTTTTCAAATCATGAATGAAGATTTAAATCATTCTTCCTAGAGTTCAATCTTTCAGCAAGACTACTACAGGTATAATTAAAGACTTCAAAACCTCTTGAATCCAAACAGCAAGATGATTATTAAGTTCTTTTTTTTAATTTTGGGAACCTAGGAAAACAACTTAATGAGATACCATATTACATGTGAAGGTTTGTACCTTGAAAGAAAACTGGAAAAAAAACTTCCTTGGATTTTGAACTACATATTAGGCAATTAGAAGAATAATGTAAACAGAGTACTTCCAGTAACAATTACCAGGAATTAGATTCAACTCATTCCATTTATCTAGGATCAATGATCAGGTGAGATAACTGAACAGAGGTCAGTAAGGGTCTTGCCAATGACTTCAATGAGGCTAGGATGACTGCCCAAGTTTTATGAAAATGTTAATAAGACAAGATCTTAATGATCATAATGGGCAGGAAAGAATGAATGGCAATGTTGATATAACTTCACCAAGTACCACAAAATCCTCTGTGTCTACCCACTACCACAACATAACAACACCCTCTGTAACAGTATTGCTCACCTTAGCCTTCAACACTTAGTATCACTTGTACACCTCTTCCTTAGCATCCTGCCTCTGGTGTCCCTTAGTACACTGTACTTACTCTAGTACTTAGCTAATCTAGGAGTGTTTGAACCCTTCCCATAAAACAGTCTGTCATTTAAGATTAAAGGAGTGACTAGGACCAACTTCCCAGGGAGGTGGTCCTCACCCCTACCTTGGGCAAATTCAAAAGGAGGTTGAACCTGTCTGGGGTCTTGTGAACCCAGCATTCATTCCTGCCTGTGGCAGGGGATCAGGCTAGATGATCTGTTCAGGTCCCTCCTGACCCTAGCTTACTATGAAACTATGACAAGAGAAAAGAGCCAGTACGACTACAAATGAGGGATGCAGATGTGCAAATGATTAAGGTCATCTGTATCAAAGAATGGCATTTAGTATGTTTTAAAAAAATTAAGCCAGCAATATGGCTCAGCAAATGGCTCAGATTTACTGCCATTTTAACAAGCTTTATTTTAAAAAGTAAAAGGCAGAAGCTGGAGAAATTAATTTACTCACCCAAAGCCAATAGCTACCCAGTAATTTCTGACACCTTGATGTGGCCCCACCATAGGAAGAATGTCTGGAGAATAGGTGATAGGCCCAGCAACCGTGTTAATGATGTCTGCTTGTTTCAGGACTGGAACCATTGCCATTGCAGCCTCTATATGTTCCATTATTCTGTCTAAATCGGACTCAAAGAGTTCCTTTCCAAAACCTGGAGAAATATTTGATTCATGTTGTATATTCATTAATATACTGCAAATATGTATGTCAGCTGCTCCTGTACTGAGCAGTGCTACTGTCCAGGGTACAAAATTCGCCAGTTAAGCCTCTTATGTATATTCTACATATATACAAGTAATGCATACAGCTGTAGTATCTAATTCTGTACTCAGCTCATTCATGCCTTTTCTCTTTTAAGTAATAAAACTCACATGCACAATACCCCCATTTACCTACCAGTAGAACATAAAGCAAGCATAACTGGATTTCTTAGTCATATTATGTATGCTTATTTATATTTATTTGACCTTAATGATGCAAGGTCTTAACATGCAAGGGAGAAATGGCATGGGAAGCTCCTCTTTTGCTGGTTACATCTGTCTTTATGGTTTTTGTGATAGTTTGGGAGACATATCTGTCAGCTGACAAATTCCAATTTGCTTTGTGAATGGTAGATTGTAATTTCAACCACCATTTTGAACATAAATTTCAGGGTGAATTGAGCATCTTTGAGCACCTGTTTATAACAGGGTTTTAACTCCTAGTGGAGTGCTGCATCTGGGAAGCTATGATAAAGCAGTTCAACATGGAATTGTTGTATTATAGGAAAACAATTGGTTTTCTACTCATAGCGCCATTGACTTTTGATGACTTTCTACCCAGAAACCAATGAAGGGCTAGAGCCTAGAAATTCCCCAGTCAAACTGTATGGGTATTGTAGGTGCTAGAATCTGTTTTAGGAATGAAACACTTTCTGTTATGGGAGCTACTTTGCTGCCAGAAGAAAGAAAGTCAGACCAAGAAGGTAAGAAGAGACTCCTGTCTAAAGCTTTTTAAGGGTAAAATGAATACATTCCTTAGCTAATCCAGGAGTCCTGGTTTAAATGACACATTATTCCTGTAAGATATAGCTATGACACCAGAATTCCCATGGCCAGGTGGATTCTGAAAGAAACATGTCTAATTATGGGGTACCTGCGAAGGCACGGGAGAGACTGAGGTAGCATAGAAGAATGTGGGATTTGGGCCGCCTAGACACATGCTCCTCGGTGTTCTAATGAGAACACTACAGCATCGCTACAGCGTCATGTGTATTAAGCCCCTGCGCTTTTTTAAATGGCTGCTCGGGTGCTTTATCTAAACCCCATTGAAGAAGCTTTAGATAAAGCATCCTGTGGCCATTTTTAAATGTGCGAGGACTTAATACACACGATGCTGTGGCATTTTAATTAAAGCAGCTGTCCGGGAGCTGCTCTAATTAAAACGCTTCCCCCCACACAGAACACATGTATAGACACACTTAGTGACTGGATTCTAATTCCAATAGCTCAGTGTCCGTCTACAGTGAGACTGGATTAGATTGGGACAGATCCATTTCATGCACCTTATTTCTTATTGTTCACCTTGTTACAGAGAAGTTGTAACCATATTGTGTAAAAATACCTACAGAAATTTAATGTGTTGCAACTAAAATTTCAATAGCTTCCATGTCCCATCACACAGGGCAATGTGATAAAAGGAAATACGCTATTGTGTTTAATATTTATTTAACTATATTTGCAGTTTATCAAGGTTAGAAGACACATGTACTTTTTTAATTACCTGGTGGAACTCCATTTGTTACCCATGATTCCTGTATTTTCATTTTCTCCTGGCTTTCATATGGTCCAAATAAAAGCCCATCCCTTTCCTGCCTTAGGTAATATGAACCTTCTAAGTCACGAATCACAGGCAGTTCCTTTTTCAGAGCTTTCACTTCAGGGATAGTTGATGTCACAACATACTGGTGATGAACTGGTATCAGAGGATGCTGAAGTCCAATCATTTTGCCTATTTCCCGAGCCCAGAAGCCTAAGTAACACAATAAAGAAAAATACTAATATTTAAACACTTGTTTCAGTAAACAGAAATTAATAGCAATTTGTTTTTCAGAAACTGCCGTGCTTTATGGTAACCTATAAAGGAACTTTGTCTTTCCATATTTGTCATAAGGTTTTTTGAGCTTCAGCAAAAAATTTCTCCTATTATTCCTAAATTCCTAATTCCTCCTACATTTATTCCTGTTAGTCCCAATTTTAAACCCATATACCCTGCTAATATAGAGATATCCATAACAGATGTAAAAATTGAAAGAACAGGGATTAATCAGATTTGGATTATTCAAAAAATGTCATAGAGGAACTGAATTACATTTAATTAATGTTTATATGGCCCATATGGTCTGTTCCACTAAATAAGGCTCCATTAGATATGATTCCAGCTATCATTAGGGAGTGTGAGGGAACACTTATGGCCAGCTTGGACACTAAAGGTTCATGCTATGGTAGCAATATATCCTGGCTGGGATATTTCTGAACACCTCTCCCATTTGTTTCCACTCATGTGATCCAAACCTGGCAATGTGAGCCTGTTCTAGGACATTTTCTTTCAGCTGCAACTGAGATGTCAGTTTCTGGCATGTTTTCAATCTGCTGCTTGGAACAAACCCAGAGCAGTCTCCGTTGTGTATGTCTGCATTTGGTGTGAGGAAGAAGGAGCAGGAGGGTAGGTATGCCCAGCAGTATTCCAGCCAGGACATGTAACTGCCCTGATATAGAAATATCCTAAGACACTAATCAGAAAGAGACAACAAATAAAATCAACCACATGCTTAAGTGTCTTGCTGAATGAAGGCCTAGATTTCCCTTTCTCCTGTGCATCCAAGTGACCTGAATAATTAGATTTTTTATTAATTTAGTAATCTACTTTATACTAAGAACTTCATCCTGATGGGCTATGTAGTCTAGTTATTGGATATTTCAATATTTCTAACAGGCCTTGATTATAAAGCTGGATTGCATCTCCTCTGACCCTGGAGCCAACTAGAGACTACTTTAACACCCTTGTAAGCTAAAGATGACTCATATCTCCCCTAATCTATGCCATCTAGTAATGGTCTTCTAAAAGATGTTGCATGCTTGGAAATCTCCAAGGTGCAGCATACCCCAGCTGCATACCATACCATGGAAGGGCACCACCTTCCATTTGTAGCTGTCACAGGTCGGGCTCCCCAGGGGTGACCATAATGCCCCTGGTGGCTCTGAGACCATACCAGCTCTGCCCCAAGGGCACCCTCTTGTCTTTCCTGCCACATCTTGATGGTGAAATAGTAAGTCAGGAGGCTGCCCACAGGCCTTCGCATGGCCCCTGTCCACTGAACCCCACAAGAACTCACTGGCCCTTGGGTCCTTCGCTGGACCACACTCCAGTACTCTGCTGCACGGGGCACCTCGAGCCTTATGGGTTAATTCCCCTAGATCATGCCCTATGTCTCATGGGTGTTACATAGATGTCATTTCCTCTCTCAGGGCATCAGCCTCCTTGGATTCTGCCCCTTCAATCTAGCTAGGTCTTCTAGCCTAGGCCCACCACATCAGACCCGGCTTTGAGGAACTAGCTCAATCTATTCTTGCCTGCCGGGCTCCAGGCCCCTATGTGGTTGCATCCCTTTGGTGCCGGGCCCCTGGCCCTATGTGGCTGTGCCCCTCTGGTGCCGGGCCCTTGCATAGCTGCACCCCTCTGGCACTGGGCCTCTGGCCCCTGTCTAGCTGCACCCCTCTTGTGCCAGGCCCTTGGCCCCTGTGTGCTTGGTGACTTGCCTTCTGTGCCTGCTTCAGGCTCTCCAGCTGCCTGAGCCCTGATCCTGCCTCCAGCAGGGTTCAAGGGGATTGCATGCCCCCCCCCCGGGTGCTAACGGGACCTCCTTAACCACCCCTCACAGCCCCATCCCAAACCTCCGGTACAAACAGCAACATAAACATAAGCCCCGGGGCTATAACATAACAATAACAATGAAAACTGCGCAGTGTCCCTTTTAGGGGGCAAACCTCTACCCCTGGGATAGTGTGCCTCCTAGGTCTGAGTATTACCACAGGTGCTGGCCCCAGACTCCTCTACCCCACCTAGAGCATTTTTCTCTGTGCTAAACCCACATGCAGGGGCATGCCTTGGGGCAAAAAGCATCACATTCCTTAAGGAATCTCTTTATATTTGAAAATGTGTCTACAATCTAAAAGGCTCAGCAAATGCAGTGGCTATATCTGTTGCACTCATTTGCAAAATAAACAAAGCCAGTACATGTAATTGTAGGCTTACCAGCCAAAACCATATTCCATTTATAACATGCAGTAAATAGTTCGGGTTTTTTTTTTAATTACAATATTTAGTAGGGATGTGCAAAGCTTTGGGAGCTGATTCAATTCAGAGGAGATTTGGCGCGATTTGGTGAACCAATCATGGAACCAATTAAGAGGTCCGAATTGATTCAAAGCTCTCCAAAATCAATTTGGAAAATATACAGAGAGCTTTGGCAATTCGGGCAGTGCCTGCTGGCTGCAGCACGGAGCTGGACCTGGACTCCATGCTGGTAAGGAAGGGAAGGTGGAGGGGTGAAAGGGAAAAAGGACCATGGGGGGAACCCTACCAGGCCCCATCCCCTGCCTGCTCCCCCAGACCTGCTGAGTGCTGCCCAACCCCTGCCCACTGTCCCAGCCCCCGCTCATGGCTGCCTTGCCGAGCCCCAGCTCCCAGCTCTTTAAAAAATGCCCCCACTCACTGGCTCCTGCCAGGGATCCCTGCTGCCCCCCACTGCCCCATGCTGCATGGGGGGGCTCTGTCACAAGTGACTCCTGCCTGCTCTCTCAGCCCGCGTAGGGCTGTCCTGCCCACCCCATCTCCCTGCCCTTTAAAAAAAAACAAACAAAACCCCACTCACCAGCTGCTGCAGTGGCTCTGGGGCTTCTGGGGTCTCCTTGAAGAGCCCCCCACACAGCGCAGGGCAGCGGGAATCGTCCCCCGCCTGGCAGCAGCTGGTGAGCGGGACATTTTTTTTTCCCCGATTCGGGACAGTGATTCGAATCACTGAATCGAATCACTGTCTCCCAAATTGGCCGAATCCAAAGCAAATACTAGCCGCTTTGCACAAGCCTAATATTTAGACAGTGCAGTGCTCCAAATGTGATTTTGTACCAGATTTTGACTATGACTGTTGTGGAGTCAATAAAAGAAAGAGGCATTAGTGTACTGTTATTTTGACACCTCTTTTAAGATTGAAACTGATACATCTTGGGCATGTCTACATCTTGCCCTATGGCAATGTTGTTACTGTGCCATGCTTTAATACTTCTTTTGGAATTACTAAAGCATGGCACAGTAGCTGCCCATACTGTGCCGTATGCATGGGCATGGTTATTTTTAGCCACTACTTCACCATAGTGGCGTGCTATAACAGGGGGAGTGCACTGCTACGGAGAAATAGCTGCCAGTCATGCATAGAGCCACGTGGTCACTATTTCGCCCTAGTGCATCGATACGGTGACGTAGTGTGATGTATAGATGCGCCCGTTAAGTACTGTAATTTTTTTTAAAATTAAGACAAATTTATGCTAAGTTTTGCTAATTTTACTTGTGTAGGGGAAAAATAGCTGGGCTTTACTAAATTAAATATAGTGTACCTTCTCCACTTAAAAATTTTTCACCATATGCAAAAAAAATTACTAAAAAATATTCTAAAAGAAAGAGTTAGTTCTCTGAAACAAGACCTAATTGGAAGCAGATGTCAAGTCCCAAACCCATGGTAAAGATAAATATAGGAATAATTTATGGCTTTAGAACTTTTCTACACTGTAGAAATCAAAATTATCTGTGTGAGAAATTTAATGTTGGTTTTGTTTAGCATATTCACAGAGTATTGTAGTGTGGCTACAACTTGTAAAACATAAAACTCAGTTAATAATATTATTTTTATTTGCTAAATTCCTACAAAAATGCTGCAAAAAATGGATAAACTGCTGCGATGTCAATTGTATGTGAATTTATATGAATGCAATGTGCATAAGTAACAAAATTCACCATTTTATTAATGACTTAGTTATAAATACACCACAAACCTCCTTCATGCTATTAAAAATAGACTACAAGCCTCCTCAAGACAAGTTAATTTATGTCATGGAGTGGTTATTATGGGACTGCTTTGTTTGAAATAGCAGCTACAAGTTGGTTTAAACTTGTTCATTCCAGTCACACAGCAGATGTTGACTTTGCAAAAAGAGAGGGGGAGGGAGAGGGGGAAACACAGACAGCCCTCTAGCAAACCCCTCTGTGCTCTCAGTTGCTGACAGGAGACAAGCAACAGCTGGCATGAAAACAGTAATGATTTAAAGAAGTGGGAGGTGGGACTAGAGAAAGAATGAAAGTTGGCTGAAAAATGTTAGTAGCACATACTGGTCAAAATACTGGTTTCATGCCTGACTCAGAATGTTGAGCAATAGAAGCTTTAAATGTTAATTTTGGCTGAACATTTAGCTACACATTAGAGCTAGCCAGGCACGTCTTTTGTTTAATAAGTTATCAAAGCAAGTGGAAAAAGCCTAAGAAAATTTCACAAGAGTGCATTTTGGTTTCACAAATAATGATAAGCTTTGGAAAGCAGTCAGAAGGAAGCTGTATATAATGAAAACCATCTGTCTCAGGTCTGCCCAACTTCATAGCGGCTGGGAGCCACCTACCACACCAAGCCCTGGGCTGCTCACTGCACAGACCACACAACATTGGGGGCCACACGCAGTGCCGGCTACTAGGACCCCTGCCTCATGTAGGCCCCGTGCTGCACAGCAGTGCAACCCCTCCCTGCCACCACTGCCCCATGAGCAGTGTAAGCCCACTCCACACCAAACCCTCCACATGAGCACCCCCAGTACTGCTGTGCAAGTGAGCCCCCAACTCCCCCCCACCCACCATTTGAGCAGTGCAAGCCTCCCACGCGAGACCCCTGCCAGTGCTGTCCCATTGTGCAAGCAGTACCAGCTGCCCCACCACCAGCAAGTAGTGAGCTGACTGGGCCCCCTCCCACTGTGCTACTCCCCACCCCTACTTCTGCAGCTGCTTCAGCAGCATGAACAATGTGGGCAGTTGTTGGCTGGGCAGGAGCCCATTGGCCACAGGTTAACCCCTCACAGTCTGAATTTGGTTCATAGGCTGCCAGTTGGATAGGCCTAGTCTACAGAAACAAAAAGACACTAATCACACTGGATACATTTAACGTTAAGTTACTACACGTGTGATCCTTCATTATGGAGTTTTACACGAGCCCGTTTTCCATTTGCTATTTTAGCTCTACTGTATCTACTTCTTTCCCAAAGACCTGAGGAAGGGTACTATAGTACTCAAAAGGTTGTTTAAGTCTATCCCAACCATGCAGTTGGTCCAATAAATGTTAATCAACCACAAAACATCACTCTATCAGAATAACTATGTGCAAGGGAATTAAATTAATGTTCCTAAGGCCACTCTAATTCTGGGATTTTCTAACTTCTGAGTGCTTGATTTTTCAACCTTAATAATGTTCTTTCAACATAGAGAATTCCACATTACAAAAAAACCTGTTTTTTAAAACCCAAACCAACCCCTCCCTCAGCACACACAAAACACACGAATGTGGCATCATATTGAGATGCATTAGAGTCACCGGTAAGATTGAAAGCTCTAGTTAATCAGGCAGAAACCTGCCTCTTAAGCTAAGGGAGCAACTGATCGCAATAGCATGTAGCCCTCCTCTGTATGGAGCAGCACTAGAGGGGGAGCCACATTTTGCTAGAAGATTTCACAGATGTTTGCTGACAGCAAATGAACAGAATTCAGGCATTTGGGTTCTGCTCCAAAATCTGGAGGGGAGTGAGCGCTAGACTCTTCAGCCCATTTTTCCTCCTTAGTTTCCTCTTTTCCCCACATTCGTTCCTAGTCTTTACACCTCTTTCAGCAAGTACCTATGCCTCCTTCTCTCTCTCTACCCAACAGCAATACTATCTACCAAAAAATAGATCTCCAGTCCCAGTCTGACTACCACGCAAGATTCCTTTCCCAAACAGTCCCAGCTTCTGCGCTCTCTGGCTCCCAGTCTCCTGGCACAAACAATTCAAAACAAATGGTAAATTTCTGGCAAACTGTTAAGCAAATAAAAACAGAATCTAACAACTGGAAATGTCAGGCAACCTTTGTGACAGTAGGTACTATCTGTCCAACAATTAATAAAAGGACTTTTCTATAGAAGTATTACAGAAATCTGACTTACTAAATAAAATTAAGTTTAAAAGTTACATAAATGGAGGGAAAATAATTATAAGTTATTAAGTGTAAGGATATTGTTAAGCCAAGGGGGTGACTAATAGGCCTGTAAGAAGCAGCAAGTATTCGCTTCGGCTTTGGCCAATTCGGAGGATAGTGATATGATTTGGAGATTCAAATCACTGTCCTGATTCGGTTTGGCCAAATCAGATCTGAAAGATTTGGTGCCGCTTCAGAGATTCTATTGGTATTCAGCTGGTAAGTCTATTGGAGGAGGGAAGAGGCGTGGGGGAGGGATTGGGGCTGGGGCTGAGACAAGCTGCCCAACCAGGGTGGGGGAGCATATTACTCAGGGAGGGAAGCAGGGGGGCACGGGATATGGGTGCGGCAATGCTCACAGTGGGGCTCTGTCCTGCTG